GATTCTGATTCTGAGGCTTATAACAGTGAATATGAACACAATGATGAAGAAGAAGATGAGACAACTCTTACACCAAGCACAAAACATCACAAAAGCAAAATTGCAGTCAACTTGGTAATCTCCCCACAAGAGTATCAACAAACAATGCTGCTAACATATGCAAGCAATTGGCTCGTAAAGGCATTGACATCCCAACTCCATGTCAATTAGCTACTTAAGTCAACGATTAATAAGGCAATCAAGCTATAGGAAGAAATGATTGAAAAGTTGCATATGGAAAGCTGGTCCTTACACTTTGATAGCAAACACATTCACAAAATGGATTATCAAGTGGTCGTCCTTAAAAATAAAAGAAGAGAAATCAAATTGGATGTCCTTGGCTTGGTAGATGGCAGGGCTTTAACTATTGCTCTAAAGTCCTCGATGAATTTTACATATGGAATTCAATACAGATGATTGTTGCAGATACCACCAGCGTGAACACTTAAAAAAAGAATGGTTTTGTTGAAATATTGCTACGAATGTTCACAGAGAAACGCATCAACAAACCTCAATTTATTAGTTGTCAACACCATGTATTAGATAGAATCCTCCGTTTGGTGATGGATGAAGAACTTGGAAGTAAAACACAATCGCCAAACATCGAATATCCATTTGTATCTCAACTGTTGGAGAAGTACAAACAACTGAAAACACATTTTGATAACGGAACAGAAGTAATTCTAAGTTTCATCTGACTCGAGTGTTCCGATTTTTTGAGGAAAAGGGAAATTTTACATTAATCAGGTTTTAGAAAATACCCAACATCAGTAATGCGAGGTGGAACTTTAGACGTTTACTCGTGATCCTGGCCTTTATTTTTTTTAAATTCCTTCAACAAAGACAGTTCTGCAGGGAATATGTCGATTTATATCGTATGGCTGGGCAGACCATTGGTTTACAGACCAACTGCACAACGAAAACAATTAACAACTTGGCTGAAATACTGAATCCATACAAAAAGGCTTTAAAAAGTCAGTGATTTTTCAAAGAAAATTAAAAAGCAGTTTTAAAAAAACTGGATTTTTTCTCCGCACGCATATTTTTAGCACTGTTTTTGGAGTCTTAAGGTAACCTTTCTGATAAGGTTCTGCAAAATTATTTTTAGAAGGGCTTGAAAATATTCAAAATTATTTTTAAAAATGTGTTAGTAGCTTGTAGACTTTTTTCAACGTCTTCGTAATTTAGAATACTTTTTAAGGATTACATAAAATATTTTTTTATTTATGACTTAACATTATATTCTTTATTCAGATTATTCAACACTTTCAGAGTTTAATTTAAAAAAATTAAGTACTATGTTGGTTTATTTCCAACCTGAAATTCTAAGGTCCTACTGCATTCTGAGGTCCTTGTTTGATGGTTCTGAGGAATTCCGTGGGATGTTCTGGGTAAAAATTATTTCAAAATATTCATTTTATTTTTTATTTTTTAGTAGGAGTGCGATGCTTAGAGTTGTGCTGTGCGATGACAACTTCTTCAGTTAAAACAAAAAAATATTTGTTATTAAAAGTACCCCAAAACATAAAAAGTCATATTCAGATAGAAAAATTGATTTAAAAAAGTGAATCTGAATATGACTTTTTGTATTTTGTTGTTAGAGTTGTGTAAGTTTTTTTTTATTGTAAACTTTATGATGTTAATAACGTTAAAACGTTATATTTTACACTTGAAATACTGTTAAATCTTTCAAATATTTTAGATTTAGATCACAGTTTATCTCTTTTTTGGTTATTTTCAAAATAAACTCTTGGTTACCATAGCAATTTAATTTTTATTGTTATTTTGAAAAACAAAATGTAGAATTAATATTATTACGTTATTTGTTTCTACTAGGTAAAGGCTAGGAAAAATAAACTCAAATTTAAAAATCCCCTGTCTTTGAGCCCTTAGTTGAGTAAAGGCTAGAGATGGTGTTTTGACAAAAACACTCATCTTGGGCTGATGTTAACTGTACCTAGCTACTGTCTTGCAAAAGACCTCTTAGGCAAAAACATTAGACATAAGCCGAATAATTCTTTTAATCAGCCTCGCACATTTTCTTAATCTATTAGGCTAAGGTAGATGCAAACCTGTGTTAAATTGTTTTCAGCCTAAGATGATGAATACTAAACCTTCTTGAATCTACTCAAAGATTTTTGCTTGTTCAAAAAAAGGCAACTGCGTAGTTCATTGCTTGGGATGCCATGAACTGTCTATAAATAAGTTTTTTTTAAACTTAAACCATGTCTAAAGTAATTAAAAAACTTAATATAAAAAACCATAATCATCACCTAACTATTTCAATATATCTGTCACAAGTATTTGCGGTCTGCGAAGTAACTTTCCATCAGTATCGAATCTTATCTCCAGCAAAATTCACCAGACTTTTGTGAGAGTCCTTTAAATTCTGCTTTTCATTCTTCAGATATCAGCATTAATGAGTACTATCCTTTGATTTGCAAAGACTCCAATAGTCACCTTCTTCACGTATACTTACGCATCAATCACCTATTTGCTGAGAAATCAGGTTTGAATCCATTGATCATTTTTTAATGTGCTTCTGATTAGTACCTCTTCACTCTATCATCTTTCTTTTTATTCTTTATCTTTTTTTTTCTTCTTAAGGCTGCACTCTTTTAGATGTAATTTCTAATCAAACTGATAATGTCTTTTCTCTTTATTCCTCTGCTTTCTATAATGTTTGACCTGCTAGTCTTCTCCATAGACTGGCTTCATTTGAAGTATCTGGGAATATATTTGAGATTATTAAATCATTTCTTTCTAACCGCCTAATTAAAGTTTACTTTTAAGGCACCTCAAGATTCTATCTATGGTCCTGTTTTTTTTCTTTCTACATTAATGATCTTCCCAAGCTTACATTTAAAATTACTCTATTCGTTGACGATTAAACTTTTTACTTCTGTCTTGAAAAAAAACTCTTCTCTTTTCGGTCGCTTAGAAAAGGCAGCCGATTTTGAGTTTAACCTCACTTTTGTAACAGATTAAAACTTGCAGTGGCTGATGAATTTTAACTCTTTAACATTTTAACTCTAACAAAACTCAGTTATTTACTGCAACTTTGCACTAGTGTCGACATAACTATATTAATAAACCCTCGCACTGAGTCCTCTATTTTACGTCTTCTTGGATTTTTGCTTGAAACCAAATATACAATCGATTCCATTCTCTAACTATACAAATTCACTCATCACTCCTGAATCCATTATCTAACTATACAAATCTCTTATTCTCCTCTGTATGGAATTTTGTTGTCATGTTTGGGCTGGTTCTTCTAATGATAATTTTTCTTTTTAGACAAGGTCCAAAAAAAAACTTTGCTAACGCAGTTGACCTGGTCTACCAAGCTTGAATCTCTCTCCCTTAAAATTTAATTTATTTATAATAATTTTATACAAACCTTTTTGCCTTTTATTTGCGTTAAAAGAAATAAAGCCGTTTAATGATCTTAAAATAAACGTAGAACTCTACTATCTTAAACGAGATGATATATTATTTTATCTGTTTTTGCTTTACTGAATGCGGCAGTAGGCTATAAGTAAACACTCGTCTTGAAAACTAAGAGATTCGAGGTACAAATTTACTTTAAGTCTCTGGAAAAACCGCAACACGTGAAGGGTTTTCAACAAGGTCCGTAGAGGTAAGAGTTAAGGGAGACGAATAAATAAAACTAGTCTTTGTTTTCCTAGACTAGTTTTTAATTAAAAAAAAATGAATGAAGTATATATACCTTTTACTAAAATGGAAAATCAAAATGGTACTGAACCTTTTACCAAACATTGTTTTTTGTTAGAGCGTTTGTACTTGCTTGTACGTGCTTCATATAATTTTTTTATAAGTCTTGGAGTAAACATCCTACATAACAACTTTTACAAAGCTAACATCAAAAGCAAATTATATTCACTAGAACATATGTCTACGAAACGTTGTTTTTTTTAATAAATAGACGAACATGAAAAATTTATTGCTTTGTTAGATAAAATTTTTGTTAAGACTACTCTCGAGTCCCTAATTCAAGGGGGGGGGGGCGTTTATAAATTTTTGGAACATTTTCCCCCCCCCCTATCCAAGCTTATTTAGACCCCTTTCCCCTTGTTTATTAATTTTTACTTGGTATTTAAAAAAAAAAGAAAAAAAAAGGTGAAACTCGGCCTTAAAAATTAGAAAATATTTATTACAGTCGCTGATATAAACAAAATTTTTCAGTCAACAGGTTTTAAAAATCATTAACCAAGCAATTTCCAATTTTTTCGAAAATGAGCTTTTAATGTATTTCTAAAACTTATTAAATCCTATTGAAATTATTATAAAACAGCTGTTAGAAAATGCGCATTTGACCGCAAGCCGCACTAAATTTAAATAGTTTTATGCGTGTTTTGTAAAATATATTAGTTTTGATTTATAAACTGAAATTTTTCATAAACAATATTTATATTGTAACATAAAAAAATCCCCCCCCCTCCTTTTATTAAAACTCCCCGTTTATTAAAATTCCCTCCCTTTATTTTTTTTTACCCCCCTTCCTCCTTATATTAAGGACTCGAGACTACGCATTAAAAAAAAAAACTCGTTTGTATTTTGTGAAGAATCACTGGTGTGCCTTAAATATACATCAAAAGTTAAAACATCAAATTAAAACTATTTTTTTTATATTATTAACAACTCGTTTTGAAATATTGTTTTTTACATATTGCTCTTATGCAGATGTAATCCATATGGAGCTGTTCAAGTGATTTTAATCTTTAAAAACTGTCAGAACTTGAAAACAAACAAATAAATGTGTTTTTCTTCAAACTAATTATTCAATATATCTTAAATATATTTCATATATTTAATTCACTTATAATACTAAATTTTAAGTGAATTAAAATTTAGTATTTGTATAAGTACATAAAGCATAACAATGAAAGTAAAAGATGCGATTCCTCCTCAATTACTTTCGTGGTAAGATGCGAAAAGTTCCGGTAAAATGCCAACACACCCTCCTCACCGTCCAAAAAATTTTAGATAAAACGAATAGAGCGTCCATTTCGTATAAAATATGTTGTGAGCAATACGAAGTTCTGCTGGAGATGCTTACTTGTAGATCTTTGCAAAAATTACCTTTGCACCGAATTTCAAGAGCCTTTAAAGGAAATAAGGTCTACTAATCGCTTTTATTTGTAAAAAAGAAAACGGTTATTATAAATGAAGTTATAAGATATAACATATAAATTTAGAAACCATTTAACATGCATCAAGAAATCAAAAAATTGATGAGTATATATTTATCGATAAAGTATACATGTCTTTAAAGTAAAATTACATGATTTGAAAAAAAATTATTTACACTATTATGATTCAATTCATCGAGTACTTTCTGTACGTGCAAAACAACCTCAACACACACACACACACACACACACACACACACACACACACACACACACACACACACACACACACACACACACACACACACACACACACACACTCCAGAAGTTCTAAAGTTATTTTGTTTAAATGAAAAACTGAAATAAAAGCATTCATTTAATTTATTATGCAATCATTTGTTTCTTTAGCAGTTAATTTTTCTCAAGTATATAAATTAATGATAAATAAAGTTTTAATGGTTATCATAACTTAGAATTTTTTCTAATTAAAAAAACCTTAATATATGTAAAGCACTAGGATAACCAACAATCAAAAACTTGATTTTTATATTTTTACTTAGGATGCATTTGTATTTATTACGTCTGTGCAACAGAAGCATCGCTCAGTTACAAATTTATGTGAGTATTTGTTTTGACTTTTTAAATTTAGTTGAACTATTATTTTAAATTTTAAAGTTAAAAATAGTAAATTAAACCTGGTTTGTTACTTTGTTTTGTGTTAAATTAGTTAAATTAAAGTATATTTAAAATTAAAGTATATATAATCTATAGTTAGTGATATAATTTTTAAGTGTATAGTATTTATACCATTTATATGAAAATTTTATTTTATTAAGTGAGAGTGTTTTTAAATGGTAACTAACCCTGTTACTGAATAGATAAATTTTGGTTTACTAATCTATCATTTGTTATGTGTGTTTTAAAATATTTTATTTGTGTGTTTATTTGTGTGTTATCAGCTATGTGTGTTTTAAAAGATTTTATTTTATAATAATATTGTATAAAAAAATATAATAATGTATAATAATAAAAACTGAAAAAATTAATGCTATATATTTTCAGTTTTATTTAATAACAAAATGGAAAGAAATAATAAAAAAATAATGACCATTACTATTGTCAGTTACAAATTTTTGTATTAATAACTAAAAAGGTATAGCTTTTGTAAACATGTCCTAAAACCTTTTTTAGCACAAAATAGTACCCCACAAAATAATACCCCTCCTTCCCAAAAAAATTTAACTGAAAATCAGTGTTTTTTCGCAAAAAAAAAGAGAAGATTTGCTGTAAATAACATAAGAAAAGAAAAGGTCTTCAAACACTGTCGATGCTGTCGAAAGCGGTCTAGAATAGCCCCTAATATATATGTATATATATATTAGGGGCTATATATTAGGGGCTATATATATATATATATATATATATATATATATATATATATATATATATATATATATGTATATATATATATATATATACATATATATATATATATATATATATATATATATATATATATATATATATATATATATATATATATATATATATATATATATATATATATATGTATATATATATATATATATATATATATATATATATATATGTATATATATATATATATATATATATATATATATATATATATATATATATATATATATATATATATATATATATATATATATATATATATATATATAAGGAGTCCCAAAAAAGACTCGGGATTCGAAAGTCACAAAAAAATTAATTTTTGCTAGTTTTTGGTGTCCAGGAGCTCTGAAAATATAAAAAAGTTTATGAACTACTAATAGGAAAAAAATTAAGACTTTTAGGTCAGAGGAACAATCATTTTTTGAACCTTAGGTATAATGGCAGCAAGCACTCCAGCTTTAAAACAGTTTTAGTTCATTAAATCTCATGAATGTATATATATATATATATATATATATATATATATATATATATATATATATATATATATATATATATATATAAATATATATATATACATCTTCATAAAATCTGATATAGAGAAACTTACTCACTTTTAGTTATAAGTATTATTTATTTCTATTGTTATACTCTTGTTATACGTCAACCCATTAACTCTAAAAGATGAACCTTGACAAACAAGGAAGCTTTCCAGAGAAACAAGTTAAGCACCTACTTTTAAGCATGTGGTGAATTTAAATTTCAAACCTCTTGCTTAGGAAGCAGATGCTCTACCACTATACCACTTAGATAAGAAGTTAAAATATAAAATGTGTTACTGCATATAGCTTTGTGAAAATACAAGTTAAAGGTGTGAATAAAATTGGCATTAAAGTATTTTAAATAGAATGTAAAATAATAGAGACCATAAATTCAAAGTTTAAAATTAATATTTCAATAAAAAAGGTAGTTTAAAAATGTCAAAAAATTGATGAAAAAAAAGTGATGTTATAAGAATCTTGACAAAGAGTATCATTTTTACATGGTTCACTTGATTTTGAGTTCTCTCTACTCTGTATGCATACTCTTCTTAAGTTTTAACCTTTTATGTTTCTTGTTATAATTACTTTGTTTAAAAACTATTTCAATTGGTTGCACAAACATATATTACATTTTTTACAATATCATCTTGACCTGTTTTACAAAGTCTGTACCCTTTTTTTTCTTCTTAAAACTCAGGCCAGTGAAATATCATCATATTGTGAATCCAAGACTAGTTGAAGTTTTGTGCTGCTTTCTTGTTGACAATAAAGCTGTGTCAGATTTCCTTTTGGCAGGTCGACTATGAATATGTTGTGATCTCCTTGTATTAATTACCCATATAGAGATTGCCTTTGAAAATGTTTAATGCGTTTAGGCTTAATTTTTTTTTGACTAAAACTAAATAATAAATATATATTTCATAAAAAAAGAGTTTTTTGTTTTATTAAAAGCTTGCCTTCTCCATTTTATTTTGGTTCTCAAAGTCTTTTTAATGTAAAACTCAATTTACAGACTTGATCATTTATTTCACATGTATTTAATTTGTAAGAGTTTTAGTATATAACTCCATTGTGGAATATATATTTTTAAATATCTAAGTTTCTTTTTCCTACCATAATCAGCTAATCCCAAAATCAATCAAAAAATATTGTAAATTATTCTAGACCTTGACATGACAAAGTTTTTAAACCCATTTTAGCAGGTTTTTTTAGGATGGTATTTCTGAATCCTACTGCAGTTTTCTTTTTCAGGTTTAATAAAAATACCATTTCGAGCATAATAGTTGACAAATTGAACCTTTTAAAATTTGTTATCTCTATTATTTTTAAAATTTGTTATCTCTATTATTTGCTTCATTATATTTCTTTAGTCATGGTTTAAATAATTTCTATTTTCTCTTAATTCTCATAACTACATGTCATATAATTTGATCAAAAGAACTTTCTTTTTTTTATTTTCAAACTTTTAACATTAAACTTATAAAATTAGAAGTACTAAATTTTACAAAATCTTTTAAAGGAAAATTTTTGCTTGAACTGCAATCAACTTGTTTCTCCATGAAACAACCTTTTTCATTAAGGTTTAAAAAAAATTATTAGCTCCATATATATATCAAAAACTAATGCCACATTGTCACAATTATAGCATCATTTGCAATGTTGCAGGCATTATTACTGTATTGCTAAATTATTATTTCTTTGTTTGCAGTTATTTTTATTTTTGTGACCAAATTATGTTTTGTTTTCTTAACAATATAAAAAATGCTTTGGTATATTTTTGGTTATTTTTAATTAAGTTAATAAAATTTAAATTTTTTTTAAATTTAAGTTTTTTAAATTTAAGTTTGAAAGTTATATCCTTTTTTTTTTCTTGATGTTTTTTTGTAAGTTCACTTTTGTGAATCTAGCTTAATATTCAAATAGTGTCTTTTATGTTATAATTTTTTTCTAGTTAAAAAAATGTTTATTAAGACTTCACTATTGCTTTGTTTTTTTATTAAAATAATTGCAGCAAATGTTTTGTAGATTATTTAAATAATTTTTTTTCATAAGTGTTTATTGTAACTATCAAATGTCTGATCTGTCAGCGAGATTACTGGTTGCTCCTTTTTACAAAATTTATTCATGCTTTCAGAGGTTAAGTCTCCCCGTACTACTGGACAACTACCGCTTTACACTTATATAATAGAAAAATTATAAAATTTTGCTGCCAAAAATATGGACATATAAGAAAATTAAAAAAAAAAATTATATGCAGGCCTTGAAATTAAAAAAAAAGGAGGTTGGCATTAATTTAGAGGTTAGCATCAGGTCAGCATAAAAGATTGGATGTAAAGGTTTTACCATAAAACATAGAAGCAAGTTTGGCAATTTTTTGCTGACCGCTAACACTTCTAGGTTGACATTGCTGAATACCAACCTTAATTCTGAGGGTTTTTGTGTGCTTGTGTGGGTATATATATATGTATACATATATATATATATATATATATATATATATATATATATATATATATATATATATATATATATATATATATATATATATATATATATATATATATATGTATATATATATATATATATATATATATATATATATATATATATATGTATATATATATATATATATATATATATATATATATATATATATATATATATATCTGTGTGTGTGTGTGTGTGTATATGTGTGTGTGTGTGTGTATATATGTGTGTGTGTGTGTGTATATACGTGTGTATATATGTGTGTATATATGTGTGTGTGTGTGTGTGTGTGTGTGTGTGTGTGTGTGTGTGTGTGTGTGTGTGTGTGTGTGTGTGTATGTATATTTATTGTTTTTATATTTTATGGCAACCCCTTTGTGTCAAATTTTTTTTTGAGATTGTCAACTTATTGCTCACCTCTTTTTTTTCTAATTCCAAGGGTTGATATATATATATATATATATATATATATATATATATATATATATATATATATATATATATATATATATATATATATATATATATATATATATATATATATATGTATATATATATAACTATATATATATATAATATATATATATATATATATATATATATATATATATATATATATATATATATATATATATATATATATATATATATATATATATATATATATAAATGTACAAAACATATTTTTATATGTATAAATTATATTTTTAATAAATAAACTTTAATCCATAAAAAAAGTTTTATTTTAAAATCTATATATAAATTTTTTTTCTTCTTTTTAGTTTGTAGGCATGGTGTATTTTTAATTTATTTTTACTTTTAAATTTTCAAATAAAACAAAGAGTTAAAAAACTAATATTGAATAATGCTAAATGTTTTAATCAAAGAAATTGCTTTTAAAACTGAAAGTTATAAAATTGTGTTATTTTATTTAGATAATTTGCAAAATAAATCCAGGTAAGATATTTTACAAACTTTTATAATTGATAAATTTACACTGATGTATGTATCAGCCTGGTAGATGTGTTTATTGATTTTTTTTATTGTAAATTTGATATAATAAGTGTAAAAGTAAATGTAAAAGATTTGTTCTTCTAATTTATATATATATAGTTGAGATCTAAATATCTAAATGTGTGTACAGGGTGACAACCATAAGGTGAAACACATAAAGTAAGCTATATTTTCAAATTTAAGAGTTATATTTATTCGAAAGTGGTATCAATAGAAAGCTACAAGTGTATTTAACAAGTTTTATTGGTTTAATTCGAACCTGTCGCCTTCTGCTTTTATGCAGGCTCGACATCTCTTGAAAAAGTTTTCACACGCGGCACGCACGGTTTCTTGTGGCATTTTGTCCCAAATGTCAATCAAAAGTTCCTTGAATTGGTCCAAAGTTGTTAATTTATGCTTCCCCAGTTCTTGTAGCATGTATCCCCAGACAAAGAAATCAAGGGGATTGAGGTCAGGACTTGAAGCAGGCCATTCTTTGGTATCGATAAAATCTGGGAAATTTTGATTGCAGTAATCTTGAACAACAATAGCCTTGTGTGCAGGGGCAGAATCTTGCTGGAACACCCATGGATCATCACCATACATTTCTTTAGCCTTAGGTTCAATCAAATCTTTGATCACATTCTGTAAGTAGTATTCTTTGTTGATTTTCACCCCTCTATCGATAAATTTCAGAGGAAATTTCCCCTTTTTTGAGATGGCCCCGAATACCATGACCGCCGAAGCGTTCTGATAACGAGGGACAGTTCTAACGTTTAAAGGAACATCAGAGAGCTTTACAGCATAAACTCTGTCATTTTGTCTGTTCAACGGGCGCTCCAAAGTAAACATTTTCTCGTCCAAAAAAACAATATCTGCACCACCGTGCCGCTTCAATAGCGATTTGCAACGCTTGACTCTTTCCACCTTGTTTTTGTCAGTGAGGGCGGCAATTTTTTGTTTACCTTAAGTCTTAAATCTTGTTTTATAACCTTTTGCATAGAGGTATATGACATGTTCAGCTCTTTAGCTAGCTGCCGACCTGAGCGAGCAGGATTTCTTCGTATCAATGATTTGTTGACTTTTATATCATTTAGGCGTCTTCAAATATCAGCTTGACTTAAATTTTTTTTGTGTAATGAAATTATCAGCTCCCTGATAGGATTTAGATCTGTATTTTTCATACAATCCCTCATTTTTTCGTCCTCAAATTTTTAAAACTTTTTCTAAACAAATGTCAAAACAAACTGTAAACAAGGGGAAAGTCATATGGTACGGGGTTAATAAATGATTGGGGTTCGAAAATGTGTTTTACCTTATGGTTTTCACCCTGTATAAAGTTTCAGGTAATCAAATAAAACTCACTTGTTTTAAAAAAGTAAATGAGTTTATGTATTTTTATGATAAAAAATTTGAATATTCGGTGACTATTTGGTGGTGACTATTGGTATTTAACTCTACTACTTTTTTTACTATTCGGCCGAATATATTTTTATATAATATAGTTTGGCAGAATATAAATATATATTCGGTTTTTGGCAGAATATTGCAAACTATTTGGCCAAATACAAGATAGTAACAAAAAAAAGGTATTAAGTAATGATAAAAACATTTTCATCATTTGATGATTGCAAATTCCTCATAAACTATACATACTTTCAAAAATAGCCATTCACTATCTACACTGCCACAAGTAAATAATAAAATTTTTTTAGCAAGTTCTGTTAGGATAATCTTTTGCTTTTGCTGACTACAACTTGAAAGGGTTTGTTATACAGTTGTAAAAACTATTTCATTTGCAATCAGACTTTTCTTTTCCACATCTTCATATGTGTGGATATTTTTTGTAAAGATTAGTGTGATTATTTTCATTTACATTACTTTTTTTTTCGAAGTGGAGATTAATCATCACCATTGCTACTAGGTATAGGTGATGGTTCATCGGTGTCAAGCAGTCTTTCACTGAGAAAAATTAACTCTTTACTGACTTATCTTTCTCAGAGCTTTTAAATTTTGTTTTGCTCATTGTGTTTTAACAAATCTCTTGAAATTTGTTTAAAAACATGCATCAATAAAAAAGGATATTGTATAATTAATATTCCAATTAAAGTCGAACCATAAGTTAAACCCATTAAAGTTCAGGTTGTATTGATGATATCATTTTTAATAAGTTTAGAGTACTTTGTGCTATACCTATTCAATAGCAGCTGCTTAAATTATCTCAGAAGTGCAAGATATTTCTGAGCTGGTTATTTTTGAATGGTTTGAAGAGCATGATAGTTTTATAAATGACTATAATTTAAAAAATTTAATGTAACAGTCAATAAATAATGCATGCTGTGACATGGCCTAGTCACAAATGAAACAAAAATGCACACAGCGTAGTTAACATACCCAATTCAATGGAGCAAGTCAAAGTTTCAGTATTCAGCAAAAGAGAGGATTCTGTTTATAGATGTAGGATGTATAAATAGTGCCATCTTGCACATAAATGGTGTTCTGGTTATTGTTTTTTGTGTGCATTATTAAGACCACATAAAGAATCCTTTTTTATGACTTTGGGATTAGTGCACATTTGTCTAGGCAATTACATTGGTAAAGTACACCTATTTATTGTGAAACCAAGTTTGAATTTTCTGTCTGTTCTTTTATATGCTTTTAGCACCTCTTCACTTGATTAGCTTTCTCTTTTTTTTTTTTTTTTGTTCTTCTTCTTTCCAAAAATGACTCTTTTTGATGTTGTTTCTGATTTAATCGATTGAGCTATTTCTCTTTATCCATCCGCCAATATTGTTGTTATTAGTGACTTTAATGTTAAATTATTGTATAGTTATAAATAACTACTGTTGTTACGACATGTAGTGCGACTGTTGACTAAATTGGCTAATATATATTTTAAAAATTAAGGTCTGCTTATTAAAAAAACGCATTAATTTAATTGAGGACACTAATTAAATTTGTTTTTTTTTTTAAAAAAAAAAAAACAACACAAAAACACAAATTAGAAGACTGGAATGTTTTTAAAAATATTCTGAATGCTTTTAAAAACATACTTAATGTTTTTAATTTATTTTTTTAAAAGTAAAAGTACTCTAAATGTTTTTATTTTTATTTTTTTACTGTAAAACATGCACAGAGTGTTGCTATATTGACTATTTAAAATGCAATTTTGAAATAGACTAAAAGTTGATTTAGTCGATGTATGGGAATAATTTATTTTCTTGAAATAAATTGTTATATAAATAATAAAGTAGTTTACATTCGCTTCGTTTTCTATTTTTTAATATCATATTTAAATAATAATGGAAGAGAGAAGGACTGCTCCAACAACAGGACAATCTATTCCCAAACCCTAATGGTTTAGGGACCACCTTAAATACTAGCTATATATCAAAAAGTCATTACAATCATATTTACAATGTGATTATATAGATTAATGACATTTAGATTTTAGAGCTTGACAACTTAATTCTGCCTTAGGGGACCCCGAGCAAGTTTAACCCTGAGCAAGCTTGACCCCGAGCAAGCTTGACCCCGAGCAAGCTTGCAGCAGCTCTGTATGAAAGTATGAAAATCATAACCACCTAGTAACAAAAAGAAAAAAAAAATGAATTAAATACAAAAGTTTAATTAGGTATAAACAATGCTATTAATTATATAAGACTAGGAGAGTAAAAAAAAAAAAAAATTAAGTAATGTTTATAATAGTAACATTACATTGTTACTAAATGAACAAATAATAACTAAAGATTGAAAAGGTAAATTAAGATTTTTACTTAATTTTTAGTCGATTTTGACTATTCAATTAAGTGGGCGATTTCGAATTATGACTAGTCAACTTTTAAACAATTTAGTCTAAGTCGATAACAACACTATAATTAACTCATTTTCCACAGAACATTAATCATTTACCTTTACTCCTTGATTAGTTTCTGTAACCCTAATTTGTGCTCAATTTTTCTGAATTACTTGAAAAAAATATAATTATTGCATTATTATTATTATTATTATTTTATTCAATAACTTAAAATTAATAATGCAACTAATATCAATAACTATGTATCAATAACTATGCAATAATATTGCATAGTTGTTGATACTTCTGTAATAATGATAAATTCCAGCACTCTTACTTTTTGTAAACACTCTCCAACACTCTTACTTTTTTTTTCAAATATCCTTCACTATTCTTAAGGAAATCATAATTGCAATAATTACTGAACTTCCTATATATACCATGAAATATAAACTTATGTTACAAATTAATATATGGACCTCTTATGGAAACCATATATGCAATACATTGCAAAGTTAGCATCTACTAAGGTTGCTTCTCTTTATTCAAGGTTGCCACTCAACCTGGAAAACCTGGAATACCTGGACATAGAATGAATCCCAGGGAAAACCTGGAAAACTGAGAGATTTTTTAAAATTTTTATAAAATCCAGGAAAAACTCAGGGAAAATGTTTTTTTTGAAAATTTGTACAATTTTTTTTTTTTTATATATATATATATATTTTGCTAATACATACAATAATAAGTTTGCAAGATGTGGGTGTTGTAAAAGTTTTAGTTTGTCAAATATAAAGATTGTGTTTAATTAAGGAAAATAATAATCTTGTTGATAAACAGGAAAGAATATAGAAAAGTCAGGGAAAACTCATGGAACTTAAAGAGTTCAACTCAGGGGAAAACGTTCTTTACTCAGAGAATACTCAGGTAAAACTCATGGAAAAATTATAGTGGCAACCCTGTTATTGTGCTTGCCATTTTCTTCTCTCATCTGTCAAAGCATTAATTTCCAGGCCAAGAATATTTTACATTTCTTTTGATGCAACAAATGGATTTCATTTGGAATAAAGAACAATATTTTTGTCATCTCTTTAAGACGTTTTCCTCTTTCGACCACGTGTTTCTGGTGTATTTTCTTTTTTAATTGAATTGCTTACCATATTAATAAAACAGTCTTTTAAATTTGAAATTACTTTCAAAGTCTTACTCTGGTTTCATAAATTCTTAATGAAATTTTTTTTAATTTGCAAACAATATACGATACGCCCCATTTTTCCTAAAAAAATGTTGTTTTTTTTAAATCATCACTTTTCATACTAATTGGTAACAAAGTTGATCTTTTAACTAAATCAATTAATAATTGCTGTAAATAATTTTATTTGAAATATATATTACCTATTATTTAGCATACCTTAAATTAAAGTACTCAAGAAAAATCAAATAAATACATGCTCAAACTTGTTTATAAATCACTAGCAAAAAATACTAAATACATAAAAATCTGGGATTCCCGCGTTTATGTCAAGCATTCATAAATATGATTGTGGTAGACACATTAAGCTTATTGCTACCTATTATTTTGCACACCACTGTAAGTTTGTTTAAAATGTGAAATGATTAACTTATTTTTTCAAAAAATATTAAATTTTGTATTTTTGTTTTGTTTTAAAATATATAACATTTTCAAATAATAATATTTTTTTCAAAATTAGCTAATAAAACTATATTCTGTATTTGGTATAAATTGATCAAATTGTTTTTATTGAGTTAATTAGCTTATGAATTATCAAAATTATAATAAAATAATTTCAGTATTAATAATACTGAAATTATTTTATTATAATTTTGTCAAATTAAAATTACAATTACAATTAATTAAATTACAATTTGTTCTTTTAATTAGTTAATTTCCGGGTTATTTAATAACTTAATATTTTCCTATTTGTCACTTGAAAATAAAGTTATTTAAAAAGACCTTTGAGAATCCTTTTTTAAAAGGATTCTCAAAGGTTTTTTTTTTAATAACTTTATTGCATTGGTTCTGATCCTAATTTTACTTGTAGTTTGTTTATTTTTGTTTGTAACTAAATAGAATGATCATAAATTATTTGTTAATTTTTTAATAAAGTTTAATATTTAGAAATAAAATTATATTATTTCATTTTAAATAAAATTTTAATAACTTTTGCACAAACAATTTTGTATTTTAAAATATTTTCAAAATTTACCATATTTTAAAATAATACTTAAATTATTTTCTGAAATTAATATAATTGGTTTTTAAGGATTTGAAATTAAAAAATAAAAAAGTTTTTGGTTTTTGAAAAAATATGATAAAATCATTCATCTAAATGTTTGATAAAATTGATGTCCAAATATTTGTAGTAGGGGGGGGGGGGTCCAAAATTCTATAATTCTTGTTTAACCAGTTATTCTTGATTGATTTTTTGAGAAAAGTTCAAAAAACAATTAATTTTTTGCTAATTTTTTATGATTCACCTTTTACTTCTATTTTAAAAATTTAAAGATATATAAAATAAAAGTCTTTGCAAAAGTTTTTTTGTGTATAAAGTTACGCAACTTTTTTTTCAAATTTATGCTATTCAAATTTTGATTGGATAAATTTGATTTTTAATCATTGCGTTTTAGAAAAAAAAAGTCTTTTTCTAAAAAGACGTTTTAAATAAGTTTAAACGACAGATTGCTTCAAAAAAAAAGTTTTATCTCAAGTCTCTTTCTAAACAAAACGTTTTAAGTAATCAGAAAGACAGATAGCTTCAAAATATCTTAATTTTGAAAATCTTTTTTTTTTTTTTTTAATCGTTATTCAAGCTTTCAAGAAGGCTATTCAAGATTTCTTTTTTTTTTTCTTTCACTTTTCTTTAATGAAGTCAAGAATAAATCTTATTTTAAAGTTCCAGTCAGTAGAAGTTTCAGTTAAATTCTAAAGGTTTAACAACTCTAGAGATAAACAGGCTGAAGAAATACCGCTACCTAAAAGGCTTTATAAAAAACAAACTGGGTGATCAAATTTTGAAATTTTCTGCTTTACTCTA